CTTCGCATTTGCGAAGAGGGGGTCACAATTGCGAAATCTGGCAGCCCTGACCATCTTCGCAATTGCAAAGAATTTTTTGCATTTGCAGACCCTGTCAATCCTGTTACCTTCGCAATTGCGAAGAAAATGTCGCAATTTGCGACATCAGAGAGCATGCACCTGCAGATTTCAAAATCCTGAAATTTTCTTTAAGGCTAAGTTTCAACTGTCCAATCATTCCTTTGGCATATTTGACTCATTTTGTAGTGTTCTTCATAGCCATACCATGTTTTCACTCCAATCCTTTGTTTACAGGTACTGTAAGCTAAAAATGAGCTCTACTCCAACGAATCCGCAAATGACAACCCTTTGGCAACTGAGGAGAACTATGACAAACACCGGTTCTTGTCATTGGAATGCCGGGAACGATACTATGCTGAGCTGATTACGAAGAAGTTGCTCCCGAAAAGTGGTATATTGTTGGATAAGGTCCCAGAACAGCTTCCCGAGTTCCATCAGAGGCTTGTAGACATGGGATGGAACTGTTTTGCCCCTCAACCTTGCAGAGCCAATGAGCAATGGGTGAGGGAGTTTTATGCAAATCTCCCAGCCATCAGGTTAAAGAAGCCAAAAATGAAGATTCGCAGCAAAATGGTACATTTCGGAGCTGAAGCTGTGAACCAAGTCTATCACCTACAAGACCATGACATGTCCCCATTCCGTGCAAAAGATTGTGCCTCAGGAGAGTTGTTGGTCTCCAAATTATGCCCGGGTGCGGATGTTCCATCGACATTGGAAAAGAGAGGGATCACGTCCAAAGAATTCACTACTAAAGCAAAGATATGGCTGGCCATCATATGCAGTCGCATCTCCCCTGTGTCGAATAAATGGAATGTACCGATAATGAGAGGTCAAATTATAGCCTCCAGTCTAGATGGTATTCTGCTCAATGTTGGTGAGATTTTCATCAATGAACTGAGGGAGTATCAGCTTCAAAATGTTACATCATTGATATTCCCATCTCTTATCACTGAGTTGTGCCAACTTGCTGGGGTGGAGGAGGATCCGGGAGACAACTGGATAGAGCCGGGAAAGCCTATCAATCCATTGAAGAAAAGAGGAGAGGGAGGCGTTGTCAATAGCAAAAAGAGAATGTTGGGGTCTTCTTCTCGGATCGATCAGGGTAGCCAGCCATCATCTTCTGCAGGAGGACCATTTATTCCAACACTTGAATCTTGTTTATAGAAATATTCATGTTTAAAGTGTGGATTAAATATCTTGTTGTGCTTATGTATTGAATGATTTTTATCTTTTACGAAGTGACTTATTGTTTCTTTAATTATTCTTGTTCTTTAATGTTTCCAAAGGGATTAACTCACCCTAAGACTCGCCCATTAACTTTGAATTAATTTTGGGAAAGATTATTTGGGGTTGGGAAAGATTAATTAAAAAGAACTTGAGGCTTTAACCTTATTTTATAAATTCTACCTAGGGATAGGATTGAACTACTTGTAGCCAAAATCGGGTGTGCTTAATCTCTTAATTGATTTAGGGATAATTCAATTAGGAAGTCTTGTTAGTCTTTAGAAGAAGCTAATATAGAATTATTACCCGAGGCTAATTAACATAAACTCGCTCATATTTGTAAAATCATGAAATACATTGGATCGTTACTTGAGTGTAATTCCCCGTGTATCCATACTTGTAGCCATTGATTATTTTACTTGCTTTCTAGGTTAGTTTACATTTCCGCTTTTAGCTATAGTATTTTCACAATCACCCTTCTAAGTGTTTGGCATTGCATAACAAGTGATAATTCTCTTACATTCCTAATCGCCTACATATTGTTCTCTGCGGGATTCGACCCCGACTCATAGTTGGGTAAATTATATTACATGCGACTGTGTCCATTTGCTTTTATGTAGTGGATTTGGACGTCATCAAATACCTCGAAACGATGGCCATCATTCCAAGACTCGTCAAACAACATGCAAACCGATCAAAATATACCCCAATACATATAATTTAACAATTTATAATGATTCCTAACTCCGCTCAAAAAGCCAACAAGACAACCCTCGGGCCCACGTGCTCGGATTCCAACAAATTTCGAAGATAAACTTCACCCGTAACACCACGAACCCATATATATAACTTATTCCAAATTCCATGTCCAATTTCGTGGTCAAAATCCAAAAATATTTTCTACCAAAACCCCAAATTTCCACTAATTTCCATGTAAAAATCCGTACATAATCCAAGTATTAACTCACAATAGGTGGGAATAGCTTACCTTGTAATAGATGATGAAAATCTCCCCTTGAAACTCTCCAAAAAATGCCCCAACCAAGTGAAAATGAAAGAAAATGGGCCAAAATCCCGTATAAAACCAAGCCCTCTGCCCAGCGTTCATCGCACCTGCGGCCACTTGACCGCTTCTGCGGTTCCGCAGGTGTGGCCAAAAATACCGCTTCTGCAGTCCCCCTGTAGCCCTCCTTCCTTCGCATCTGCGGACTCGCACTTGCAACCAGAGATCTGCTTCTGCGGTCTCGAAGGTGCGACACAAACCTCGCACCTACGCCTCCAACCCAGCTCCCTTCCAGCCGCTTCTGTGGTCCACTGCCTCGCATCTGTGAGACCGCTTCTGCGATGAAGCTTCCGTAGAAGCGGTTGCACCAACAACCAGAAAAAAATTCCAGCATTCCCTTAAGTCCAAAATCCGTTCTGTTAACCATCCGGAATCCACCCGAGGCCCCCGGGACCTTGACCAAATATACCAACGTGTCCCAAATCACATTACGAACTTAGCCAATGCCTCAAATCATTCCAAACAACATCGAAACTACGAATCGATGATCGAAATCCTTCTTTAATTTTCAAACTTTCCAACCTTGACGAACGCGCTAGAATCATATCAAAACATTTTGGAATGACACCAAACTTTACGCACAAGTCATAAATCACAATACGAACCTATTCCAAGGCTCGGAATCCCAAACGGACATCGACAACACCAAACCCCACTTCAAACCAAACTCAGGAAACTCTTAAACTTTCAAAATGCCAAACTTTCAAAATGAGTGCTGAAATGCTCCCGGGTGACTGATACTCAACCCGAACATACGCCCAAGTCCGAAATCATCATACAAACCTATTGGAACCTTCAAATCCCAATTCCGAGGTCGTTTACTCAAAAGTCAAACCTTAGTCAATTCTTCCAACTTAAAGTTTCCAAAATTAGAATTTTCCATCCGAATCAACTCTGAACTTCCCGAAATTCAATTCCGACCACACGTACAAGTCATAATACTTGAAGTGAAGCTACTCAAGGCCTCCAACCGCCAAACAACACGCTAGAGCTCAAAACAACCGGTCGGGTCGTTGACAGGTCATCAATTGCTTTAGTAGGAACAACTTGTTGTTCCCAGTTTTTGAAGCATAAAGAGTCTTTAGCTTTTTTCACAATGATCTCGTATGTGTCTCATTCACAATAAAGTTGCAAACATTATCTTCAACCCATTTTCGTATATATTCACATATTTTTTGGTGCTCGAAATACCAATCTTCATCAGATATAGTCTCGGGTTTATGAGCTGCAAAAACTAATAGATGCATAATCTTCACAAACAACAAATCTTTCATCTTGATTCTCCAAACATTATATTGCTCCTATTTAAACATACTATCTTGCTCATATTCGCCTCCATTCCGTAAAAATTCGGATAATAACCAAGGCTCTGATGCCACTGTAATATCGAGGAAGAGGCAAACCTGAAAATAAAGAAGATAGAGAACACCAAATTTTAACATGGAACACCCTTCAAATCAAAGGTAAAAATTACGGGATCACAAAGATCCAAAAAGATTCACTATAACAATAAGAGAGTTACAAAAGTTCTCCAAATTTGCTACACAACAAGTGCCTAGTACGGAGCAACAATAGCAACAAGAGCAACAACAAATCAATTGAAGAAAGAGGAGAAGTTACAAAAATGGAGCTACTGTTCGGGGCTAGAAATTGGATGCTACGAGCCACTAAATTCGATCATCACCTTTCAAATCAAAGATCAAGATATTATGAACACTCGGTCAAAATTTTAATCTGATCTAACGGTTAACAAATCCGAAAATGTGATTTGAAGTTTCCTAGTCGGAACAAAATCTACAGCAAAACAAATACTTTTTCTTCTCTCTTCTCTCTTGATGAAAACTCTCTAAAAAATCACTCTTATATGCTTAAGTCTTTCTAAGATTTGTACCAATGAGCATAGAAATAAGATTGTCCTATTTATAGATAATGAGTGGTCATTTATCTTAAAATCATAACCAACTCTAAATAGGAATAAAAATCGAATCCAATTTTGAATAGGAATTGAAACCAAAAGAGAATAGGATTAGACCATTGAGCCTTTGGCTGGACAACATGGGCAGGATCCAACATTATCAACAGATTATTAATGTTTATGTTAGTAGAAAATGCATTACAACGGATAATGCATACATTACCAAGGAATTGGAATATAAATTATTCTCCCAAAATACTACTATAACAGCTCAACTCGCTAGTGATATTGTCCGCTCTGGGCCTAGGCCCTCACGAGTATAAAACACGTTAGGGCCTAGACCCAAAACGGACAATATCACTAACGGGTTGGGATGTTACATATAACGTGATACAAAACGTAATTATATCTTCAGTTCTGATCATATGACAAGTTTTAATTTTGTTATACAATTTTAAAAGATAATACTTTCGGCTTAAATATTTCATGTTTTCATATAGATAATAAAGCAAAAGAGAGGGTAGAATTTGTGATGTTACCTTTCAAAGTATGATCCTTTCATCAGTAATTTATCTTTTAAAAACAATATTAAACAATAATCCCCAGGAAGAAACCTAGGCACTTTGAAAAGGCAAAATCTGCAGCAAAAGTCAGGAAGAAACAGCAAAAAGACAATATTACTGCACCTACAGGTGGTGTTCAAACAAGGAGGACCCTGACCAAATCTAACAATCAGTGATGAATGCTCTTATCTGGAACATAAGGTCAGTTAAAACACAACAAGCCTTTGAGAGGCTGATCAAAATGCATAGGCAGAATTATTATGAGTTTATAGGATTAATGGAACCTATACAACAAGCTAGAAAACTGGAAAGGTATAGAATGAATATTGGTTTTGCGCAGGCAATTGCAAATGTGTCAAATAAGATTTGGGTTTTCATTGATGAGGTATTTGAGGTCATAATTATGTACAACATAGTGCAGCAGCTGACTTTAAGGCTATTTCATACTGAAACACATGTAGAGATTGTTCTTACTTTGGTGTATGCTAAATGTGATGCCATTGAGAGAATAGTATTATGGGACTCTTTGTATGCAATGGCAAGAGACATGGATGTGCCATGGCTTGTAGGTGGAGATTTTAATGTTATATGGGATAAAGAAGAAAAGTTTGGTGCACTTCCAGTGTCACTAAATGAAATAAATCATTTTCGATATTGCATCAACACATGTAACCTATTTGATCTTGGCTTCAAAGGTAGTGTTTTTACTTGGTGGAATGGGAGGTCAGAAGAGGACTGTATATTCAAGAGGCTAGATAGATGTTTAGCAAATGTTGAGTTTCAGCAGACTTTTCCAGGAATAGAAGTCACACACCTCTCAAAGATAGGCTCAGATCACAGTCCAATGCAGTTGAAGTGTGATATAGAAGCTGCTCCTGTGAAGAAACCTTTCAGGTTCCTTAACTTTTGGGTTGAGCATCAATCATTTAAAGATGTTGTTAAGGAAAACTGGCAGGCAGATTTTTGTGCAAGTCCTTTTGTCCTTTTCAATTACAAGCTCAAGAAGTTAAAAAAGGCTTTATCAGTATGGAGTAGAGCTACATATGGGGACATATTTCAGAAAATCGCAAGCCTGGAGGAGGTGGTTATGGTGCATGGCAGAGTTTGAGGCTAATCCAACAATGATGAACAGAGAAAGACTTCAAAAAGTGCAGATAGAGTTGATTAATTTCCTTGCTTTGGAGGAAAAATACTGGAAGCAGAAATCAGGGATGGCTTGGTTTAAGGATGGAGATAGGAATACCAAATTCTTTCATGCTCAAGTCCAGGGTAGAAGGAAGAGGCTACAGCTCAAAAGGATTCAAAACAACCATGGTCAATAGCTGGAAGAAGATGAAGAAATTGTTGTTGAAGCTGTTAAATTTTTTTAGGATCAGTTCACAGAAGTAACAGTTCCCAACACATATAGCATTATAGAATATGTACCTACATTGGTTGATATGGGTAGAACTCAGAACTGATAAAGCAGCCAACAAAAGAAGAGGTTAAAAATGCAGTGTTTGGGCTCAATGGAAACAGTGCAGGAGGGCCAGATGGGTTCACAAACAGCTTCTATCATGCATGTTGGGAGATAATTGGAGATGATTTGTTTGACATGGTAAGTGATTTTTTCAAAGGCCATGAACTGCCAAAATGTGTCACACATACAAACCTGGTTTTACTTCCAAAGAAGAAAGAGGTGTCAACATTTTCTAATATGAGGCCTATAAGCCTCATTAATTTTACAAACAAAGTGATCTCGAGGGGGATTCATGAGAGGCCAGTTGGTCTACTGCCTAGTCTTATTTCTGAAGAGGAAGCAGGTTTTGTGAAAGGGAAGAGCATTATGGAAAATGTGTTGCTCATACAGGAGATCATAACAGACATTAGACTTAGGACAAAAGTTGGGCCAAATGTGGTAATGAAACTTGATATGACTAAGGCATATGATAGGCTATCTTGGCTATTTCTGACTAAGGTACTTAGGAAGATGGGATTTGCAGAGAGATTCATAGGATTGGTGTTTGGGATTGTGTCAAATAACTGGTACTCTGTGCTCATTAATGGACAAGCTATTGGATTTTTCAAATCTTCAAGAGGTGTCAAACAAGGGGATTCCTTGTCTCCTATCCTATTTATCCTAGCTGCTGAGGCTTTATCGAGGGGTTTAAGTGCTTTACACTTGAACCTGTACTTTTGCGGTTTTGGCTTACCTAAGTGGAGTCCTAAAATTAATCATCTAGCATACGCAGATGACACAATCATATTCTCCTCATCTAATGCCACATCTCTGAGATTGATAATGGAAGTGTCGAGTGCATATGAGGCTGCATCTGAGCAGCCGGTGAACAAGGCCAAATCTGCAATCTACTTGCACCACTTAACAGATGAAGAAGTGTTTTTGAAAGTGGAAAGAATCACAGGTATCAAAAGGCAGGAATTTCCAATAATGTACCTAGGTTGTCCTATCTTTTATGGTAGGAGAAAAATGGAGTATTATCAATGCATGATCACTAAGGTATTGGATAAATTGCAAACATGGAAAGGGAAATTGTTGTCTATTGGAGGAAGAGCAGTTTTGATTGCTAATGTACTGCAGAGCATGCCCATGCACTTACTGTTAGCAGTCAATCCTCCAAACTATGTTATAAATAAAGTGCACAAAATTTTTGCCCAGTTTTTTCGGAGCAGTTCAGTAGGGGGAAACAACAAGCATTGGGCATCGTGGAATACTTTGTGCATGCCATTTGAAGAAGGGGGGATTGGATTCATATCACTACATGATGTTTCAAAGGCCTTGTTCTCTAAATTATGGTGGAACTATAGAACTAAACCAAGTCTGTGGAGCTCATTTATGAGCCAAAAATACTGCAAGAAATTGAACTCGGTTATTGTACCATGGAGGGAAGGATCCCATGTATGGAGGAAAATGCTTGAATGCAGGGATCTGATAGAACATCAAATAATTTGGCATCCTAAGACGGGGTCTTCTTTATTTTGGTTCGACAACTGGACAGGCCTTGGGGCTCTATACTTCATTGTTCCTCAGGACTTTGGAGTGGATGAATCAGTTCACATTGTGTTTGATGTGGTTGAGGAAGGGGCATGGAATGTTGATAGACTATTAGAGATACTACCTGAAGAATATGCAATGCACATTGTGAAAAAAATTAAACCGCCACAGATGCAAAATGTGCTAGATGTACCTTATTGGATGCTAGAGACTAGAGGATTCTTTAGTGTAAAAACTGCCTGGGAATATATGAGAAGGAGAGATGAACCAAGAGTAGCATACTGGATGATTTGGGTGAAGGGGCTGCCTTTCAAAATTGCTTTCTTCATGTGGAAAGTGTGGAAGGGTAAACTACCACTGGATGACTTTATGAGAAGATTGGGATCTTGATGGCTTCGAAGTGTTGGTGATGCACACAACCAAAGGAAGAAACATTGCAGCACTTGTTCTTTAAGTCAGATACTGCAAGGTGTGTGTGGAAGTACTTCATTTCGAGGGCTGGTATTGCAATGGAGGGATTGTCTATGCATCAAGCTATCACTAAGTGTTGGACTGCTAAGGTGTGTCCTAGACTCAAGCCTATTATGCAAGAATTGCCCTCCTGTATAGTTTGGGAGTTATGGAAGAGAAGAAACAGCATGAAATATGGAGATGTTGTATCAACCAGTAGAGTGATCTATCAGGTCTCATCCACACTTCAATAACTTGTAAGAGTAAGAAAACCAGGAGTAGTTCATGTCCCTCACCAATGACATGAGTTATTATCAATTATGGAGAACTACACTCCTAGATTAAAGGTGGACAAAGTGGTATGGGAATTCCCAGGTGAAGGTTGGCTTAAAGTTAACACAGATGGTGCATCGAGGGGGAATCCTGGCAGGAGTGCAATTGGCTACTGTGTAAGAGATGAGAATGGTGATATTATTTGTGCAGTAGGGAAGGAGATAAATGAAACCACCAATACAGAAGCAGAGGCAGTGGCTATTGTAGATGCACTGAGATTTTGTAGAATGCAGCAGTACCCTCAGGTATGTATCCAGACTGACTCGATGCTAATGAAGAAAATTACGGAGGGAATGTGGAAGCCACCTTGGTGTATAGCTGAACATGTAGAGGAGATAATGCAGCTCTTTAATGGGGGTAACTATGTGGTGTCTCATATCTTTAGGAAAGGAAATAAATTGGCAGACCATCTTGCCAGTTATGCTTTGGATGTTGGTGATATTGAATGCCAAGATTTTTGGCAACTGGATGTTCAAGGGAGAAGAATAGTGAATGAAGATAAGTTACAATGTCCATATTTGAGGGTAAAGGTGGCCAAGAATTAAGGAGAATGGAGCCAAGGATGAGCAGGGGACAGGAGAAAACACTGGAGCAGCATATTCAAATCCTTTGGGAGGAGTGTATGCTGCTCATTTTTTGCGCTAACACTGGGTTCTTTTTTGCAGTGAAAGTTACTGTCTCTATGCCATACTATTTGAGGAAATCTCATTTGATGGTATTAGTACTTAGTACTCATTCCAATGGGAGGGACTTGAAGGTAGGCACAAGCATAGACTCAAGGACAAACATACTGCTACTCAGAATTTCTGTGGTAAGCAGGTGTTTTTGGAAACCAATTCTGAGTTTAAGTGGGGTGTTAAGGGATGATGTCACGACCCCAAACCCGGTCGTGATGGCGCCCAACACACTGCTAGGCAAGCCCGACCATTTTACAACCTTAATCCAATTCATTATACAACTCATTATTAGCTAACACAGTTAAATTACCAAACCAACATATCAGAAGTCTAAAATAAAAGTTAAATGTGCGGAATTTCAAATAATAATACTACTACATAGCCCAAAGGATCCGGTGTCACAAGTCTGAGCCTCTAATACAGGTTTATCAATCTAATACATGTCACTCTAGGGGAATACGAAATAAAAACAAAGGATAGAAGGGAGAGATCAGGGCTGCAGACGCCATGCAGCTACCTCGATGCTCCCAGATATGCGCTGCTTAACAGAAAATCCTCACTCAGCCTCAGGTGCACCTGGATCTGCACGCAAGGTGCAGGGAGTAATGTGAGTACTCCGACCCAGTGAGTAATAAACATAAATAAAGGCTGAGAATAAGAAATCATGGATAAACACATTTTAATATATAATACGGCAGTTTAAACCAAGTAGTATGAAATCAATAAAGCAGTGAAGTAGAAACATGGAAAAGCTACAACAGATAAGCAAATAAATGATAGCCAAATAAAGGAATGCATCACATAGTACGGTACTCTCTAGTACCCGCTGCGGCGTGCAGCCCGATCCATTTATTTATCATCGACGGTGCTCACTGGGGGTGTGCAGACTCCGGGAGGGGCCCCTTACGGCCCAAGCGCAATATCAAGCCATCTCGTGGCATCAGCTAGGCCCTCGGCCTGATATCAATATCCATATAATACTGCTGCGGCGCGCAACCCGATCCATACTCAGTCCAGAAATCACATAAGTCCCTCGGGCCATAATAAAATAGTAGTTCTCATCCCAAAACATCATTAGAAGTATCATTTAAGTTTCAAATCTGAGTAAAAGTGGTTGAGTTTGTAAAACAGTATGAAACAATAGGACTGAGTTCAAGTAATATGTCAAAATAGTGAGAAAACAGTGATAGCAATCCCCTGAAGGGTTCAAATAGTTGGCACAAAGCCCAAATATGACAATTAGTCACAAAAATGATGATATCAAATAAGCTTCAATCATTTATGCGGTAAAAACATCACTCGGGATGGACCAAGTCCAAATCCCCAATAGTAAACGACCCCGCGCTCATCATCAAGCGCGTGTCTCACCTCAATATAGCACTACGATATGCAAATCCGGGGTTTCAAACCCTCAGGACATCATTTACATTCATTACTCACCTCAAACCGGCCAAAACTCTAGCTCGCTACGCCCTTGCCTCTCAAATCGGCCTCCTCGCACGTCGAATCTGACCAAAACCAGAGCGAATACGTCACAATATGCTAAAGGAACAAAAACCCAATCGAATACAATCGAAAAATATCAAAAATCCCGAAATTAGCAAAACCCGAGCCCCGGACCCACTCCTCAAAACTCAGAAATTTTTACATCAACGG